ACAAATGAGTAACGTTGATCTTTGCCAGAGACATCAACTAACAAATGCATCCTGAACATAGGCTGTAACTTTTCCACCAGGACAGAGAAGGAACTCACCCATTGGTGAAATGGTGAAAACAGTGTCCACGGAAGGATTAGTAACTTGGGAAACAACTTGTGCTTGGGAAGAACAAGACAGACCAGAAATAGAAATGAAGACATTTGCCACAAAATTTAATTAAAGGTTTATAACAAAAGATAGACGCAAAATACATCAGAAACACAATAGCTCTGTAGAAATCAGAGACAATAAATTGGCTTCTGCTCTGAAAACAGGGATGCTGAGAAATGTTCCAAAACACTGAGTTGGAATGAGGCCAGTTTGGGGCTTCCCAAAGCAGCCACTGGCTTTACTGCATTTCAGTAATCTATTTTTTTGTTTTTAAAGATTATTTGCTCTCAATCCTGTAAACTTATTTAATCCTTGCAGGGAGCCCCCTTACAACTTGTATTCTGCAGACTTCTAAGGATACCTGGTGTACCTTTAGAAGTCCCGAAGGGCAAATACTGTCAGTAAATTTCAATTTGCCATACGTATTTTTTTTGAGTTTAGAATTTGAAGACGGCTGGAAACCACAGCACATACACCATATGAATGTTCACTTGTGTATCTATGTTCAGCGAGATCTTTTGTAGGTTAGTAGATATTTTTTCTTAAGTTTAGAATTCCTAATAATTCAAATTTGAAAGCACATATGTCCATTCTATCAATGTAAATCGCCCTTCTACACTAAGGCTCCGCTTCAGAAGCAGTCTTCTGTTTTAACTGATGATTTCAAAGATCTTTGTCATGAATTGGGGTGACTCTCTCTGAGGAAGTTTTTTATCCAGTTTGGATACTATTGCATTTGCCTAAATTAACTCATACTTCCAGCCTGAAATGCTCAGCCATCGCTTCGGATGTAAAAACCACTTGCAGGTGGTTTCTTCAAACAATAACACACAGTTTATGCAAAAAAGCCTAGCAGAGGTTAAAAATGTTTCTACTCCCTTTCAGTATGTCACTCAAAATTATTAGTTCCTAGAATATCTGAACGGCAAAGCAGGCTGAAGATGAAGATAATACCATGAAGAAATTACTAAAAATACATAGTTAGGTTTTTTACAATTGCACTGCTACAGATGTGATATTCATTTTTTGAGACTTCCTTTGAAACAATGCATCAAACAATATTCCTGCACCGACTCCTACTTCATGTTGGAGGTTTTATCCTTAGATACATTCAGAACTGGAAAAACTCCTGAAAACAAATGAAAAAGAGTACTAAGAATTTGCTTTGGATTCAGAGAGCAGAGATTTTCAAAGGAGCTCAGCCTGTTTGGGTGTATTTTCTCATTAGCCAAGCAAAACAGGAGCTGAGAGGCAATTCAGCTGTGGCCTATAAATATATTCTAGACTATACGCTAGCGGAGAAGAAAAGCTTCTCATGAGTGTGTTTATGGTGGAAATTAGAAGCTTACTCTCCTCACAGCAATGATGCTTTGGAACAACCTTTCACTGGAGGAATGAGGCAAAGCCATTCTACGTTGTGGCTTGATCAGCTGCATGGATGATCCCATGGTTGTCTGGGACAAGAAATGACAGAGTGTGTGGGTCTGTGGATGGGATCCTTTGCAAAACGTGGCCTTGCTTGTCAGAGTGGGAACTTTGGGGTGCTGTGTGTTCTGGAAAATACCTGGCTTTTACTAGGCGTCTGAAAGTGAGCGGAGGCTATTCATTAATATGCGTAGTCGGCGGAGCACTTCAAACCTCCTTTTCATGTGGTATTAACATGAGGCACCCAGAAGACAAGAAGTAGGCATTTGATCATAGGCTACAGATTTATTTGACTGAAAGAACGTTATGAAGAATATTCTTTAAAAAAATACCCTAAGAAATTCAGCATAAACAATTACACGAATGATATCTTACTCGGACTTGCTACCAGTTATTACACGATCCCTTCCAATTACCAGTTTATTACAGGATAGATCCTCCGTGTTGCACAGTTTCCTGCAAGCCACGCTGATATTCCAAGTGCATTTACTAGGCGTCTGAAAGTGAGCGGAGGCTATTCATTAATATGCGTAGTCGGCGGAGCACTTCAAACCTCCTTTTCATGTGGTATTAACATGAGGCACCCAGAAGACAAGAAGTAGGCATTTGATCATAGGCTACAGATTTATTTGACTGAAAGAACGTTATGAAGAATATTCTTTAAAAAAATACCCTAAGAAATTCAGCATAAACAATTACATGAATGATATCTTACTTGGACTTGCTACCAGTTATTACACGATCCCTTCCAATTACCAGTTTATTACAGGATATATCCTCTGTGTTGCACACTGTCTCCTGCAAGCCACGCTGATATTCCAAGTGCACACTAAGAGTTGCCATGACCAGACGTTTCAGAGAGAATGACACTAATTATGGCATCGCTAGGAATGGGTGGCACCGTCTTGCCCAAGGGCACAGCAAGGCTAACCTCCATCAGCTGGAGGTTGGATCATGCCCAGGAGGAGCACTTGGGGTGACCGAGGGTGGAAAACAATGTTGAACTGCAGGGTGTAGACTCAATATAACTGCATCAAGGCAAAAAGAAGCTGAGCTTTGCTTTGCTTTGCTTCCTTTTCTTATGTCGTAAAACTAAAAGAGGTTGGTTAAACAACAGCCTGACAACTTCCTTTCCTCCAACCTTTCTTCTGCCTCTGCGTCTTTGTTTTTTTTTTTATTTGACTTATAGACATCTCGGTGATCACAGATTTGGTTTTGGGTATCTGTTCAGGAGTTGGGGAGTTAAGTAAGACAGGACCTTATTAAGGAGTCTTTGTTTTTTTTTTTATTTGACTTATAGACATCTCGGTGATCACAGATTTGGTTTTGGGTATCTGTTCAGGAGTTGATACAATTGGGGAGTTAAGTAAGACAGGACCTTATTAAGGACATTGCACTGCACGATTGTGTTTCTTCCCTCATGAGATGCTTTTGATTAGCTGCCCGAAATACTGGTTTCACAAGGAACTCCTGTGGAGAAGTTTGTCTGGCAAAACAAATTGAGAAGAAATGGCCCAATTAAGAAACTCATTGTATTTTTCCATTTCTAATGGCAAGCTCTGCTACAATCTATGTCCTGTAGGAAGAGTTTGCAGACTTAGAAAGGGTCTGCATTATTTTCTAACTGACAAGTAGTGCAACTCATGCCGTCTGCTCTGTTTGGGAGTCCCCAGACCAAATGCTGCAGAGAGGAAGGATAAGCAGTGTGCAAAGCCTTCTACAACAGCACACCTCATCTTCAGCTTCTTCCAGTGAACAACCAGCTTTCAGCTGAGACAGACATGCCTACTAACATACCTGAAAGCATTATGTACATTATTGTTTCACCTAGCAAAACAGAATGATATCCAGAGCAGTCAACAGCTAGCACATGCCCCGCTGTGGCTCAGCAAAAGCTTTAAACAAAAAATCTCAGTTTGATCTCAAACAAAAAGGCTAACAGTATTTCAGGGAATATTCCCCCAAGCGTCCACCTTATCAATGACAGCTCATAAGCAACAGGGGAGCAGGCACAGAGCTCCCTCAAAACATCAGCTCTGAACATTTGGTCATGTCTCTGCCAGCAGTTTCTTCTAGCGGGGAAGTTTTCCTGGATCCTGCCATTTAAATGTCTCCTGCTGGCAGCCAGCTTAAACCCCCAGGCCTTTGACCCATGAGCTCGGTACCGAAGCCCTTCTACTCCTTCCAGTCCTCAGCTGAGAATTCTCCAAAGGAGAGGATACGCCTATATGGCAATAGAACAAAGTTTTTCCAGTTGAACCATTTCAGGCACTGAAATCTGCCTGTCCCAAACATACACACTAAAAAGTTCTCAGCAAGGCAAATTCTCTCCTTTGACGAGTAAAGAGCCGATCAAGACAAACAGGTCAGTAGTTAAATGAACAACACCCAGGGCCGCTGCCCAGGTGATTTACTGGGCTTTGAAGACTGTATTTCCTTCAAATAATCCACATTGTTGAAAGGGAGAGAAAGAGGGTACAGTGAACTTGTTACCTGTAGGGACATTCAGCCTTTATAAACATCCTTATCCCATGTTTTCTGGGTAAGACTTTTCCAGATTGGGTATGGTACTTCCGACATGACCACCTGTGCTTTTTATTGTATGAACACTTACTGTGTGACACGAAAGAGTTTGAAACCAACTGGTTTATTTTCCGTCCATGATTCATTTGTATTGCCTCCAGTGTGTCCCATTACCAAACTAGCAAATTCCTACTTGTCTGTAGCAGTTGATGGTGCCACCTTTTCTCCTCCAGGTCGATCTAATGACTTACTCCTACCAAAATCCTTAGAATGTGCTCCCTGACCCACGGCCACGTGACCCACCCATTCATTTTGCAGTAGCTCTGGCCACCGCGAAGCTTTTCTACAAGCCAATTCGACTCACTAAACCCACAGAAAACTCCCTCCTCCATTTCAAAGTTTGGTTTTCTCCCGTTTTATCAGATTTAATCAGCTCATAGGAGTTGGCCAAGCAGCAGAGACTGCACAAAGCCAGCAGCTTTCCGGGCAGAAATAGAATTTCTGATTTCCATCAGCAGCGAGCTGATGACTTGGCTCACTGCACCTCGAGAAAACAGACTGAGCCATCAGAACAATCATGTGAACATGCCTCATCTATACGGTTTAAACCCAGATTAGCTTAACTCCTACTGAGGGTTCTTTAATCTACATTGACTTTGCACACAAAGGGACTTCGTACCATTGGTTTTGCAAGCTCTTCTGTCAAGGCAGCATCCTCCAACAGGAAAGTGGCAAAAAAGAGCCACAAGAAATTTCGCAGCCATCATCCAGCCAAAGCCCAGGAGCATGAGAAGCCATTGCTGAAGAAAGAACACAAGCAAGGACTGATGTAATATCGGTAACGCAAGGCTGAGCGCAGAGAAAACCAAAAGGCACCAGATTTAGCAAGTAGAGGTAGGAATGGTTTCCACGCAAAGAACTTTATTGTCATAAATACAGCAGTGAAAAAAGCCAACTTTTAAAGGAGGGGGAAAAACAAGAGAGCTTTATGTCTAATGTTTAATAAAAACACTTTCTCTAAGACAAAAATCATTTACATTCTGATAACTCACATTCAAAAATAAATAGAGAAAGGCAGCAGGGCATAACATTCAAATGAATACCTAGTAAAACGCAGCAATGTATTTTTATTAATAATCAAGAATATAACACTGCAATATTTAATCTTGATTTTGTATATACAAATGCTGTACCCCACACAGCAATAAATCAAGACATATACACCATAAGGAGCACGTACACTAATTTCTGTTAAATTGAAAAAGTAGGAATCATACTTAACAAAAATCTCCTCCAAACTGGTAACATAGAAAAACCACTTTGAGTGGCAAACAACAAAAATCAACACTGCAATAACTCAAGAAAGCTATTTTGAAAAGAAATACAATTAACAAAAAGGAATAAAGACGTAGAATCACCTCTCCCCCAATTATCCAATCATTTCAATATCATACTGAAACACAGGCTGCTGCAATTTGGTCCATTGACACTTTGCTGATTGTTTCAGCCTGCCGTGTTGGAAAGAAAAGTTGTGTCCCCCTCAATCTTTGGCTATAAAACCCAAAGAAATTACATTCTTCATCACAAAAGCAAGATCTTGAGAAGTTTGTGCATTATTTTTTTGTTTAAGCATATTTAGTTATTACTTTAATTCATGCAAAAAAACCTGTGAATTAATCTCATTCCAGGTAAGGACTTAACCATCAAATTTAAATAGTCCATTTATTAGATTACAGAACACTGGGAAAAAGCTTAATCCACTTAATATCTTGCTACTGAGCTCTACTCAGTTAGTCAAAATTACACTAACCTTACACATTTGCCTCCTTAGAGGAGTAGGTGTAATAATTTATTCAGAAAAGCTAAAAGACATTAAAATTTAAAATAGAGCAGTTCTGAAAACTATACTTGCTCATTTTTACATGAGAGGTTCAATCATTGATAAAGAACACAGACACTAAATTGTTAAACAAACCACAAGTAACAACTGCAGACCTGACAGTAATACTAAAGCAAAGTGAATGTCATTACGCTATCAATTTTTATATTTCCTAAAAATGTAAGTGCAAATCAGAAGTTGTAGTTCAAACACATAGAAAGCTTGAAATGAGTAAAATAATTCAGGTGTGTAACATTATTAAAATTCTGCGTTAGCCACATAATATATAGATTGGAAAATATAATAAAATATAGATTGGAATTTTAACTAGGGGAAATGTGGGCTTTTTGAGGTAAGGAGAGATCAATTCAATGGGGTTGTATCTCTGAAGGTGCAGAGAGAATCCTCCAACAAACATTCCGTCATTGCCAAATTGTGCCTTAGGCACTGTACTCAATTGAAAAAAAAATAGGTTGTTTTTGGCAAGCAAATTTGCAAAGCAATCACCTGTACAATCGCAAACAGAACATATTTGCCCTCTGAAGTTACACAGCCTTTCATCAACATCTCAAAGCATATTAAGGAGGGAGCAAAAATATTTTCTCCTTGTAGCAATAGGCACAGAAGGCCCATCCAAAGTTCCCCATCTCCACATCAATGCATACTCATCCTCAGGACTCTATAGAACAATTGTCACCTATCGTATTATGTTAATTCGACACACATTATAGTAGAATTATATATATGTGACAAATCCAGTTTGCAAAGATTACAAATATATCAAGCTGCTGGTAAACAGTTCCTGTATCTATATATGATGGTGCAAGATAGTGATGTCATAAAGGCACTTGTCTCTCACAGACAGTATTGTCTTCTCTAATCAGTCAAAAATAGATCTAAAAATATTTATTTTAACATCCGAAATGGTTTTTACTCCTTAAAGTGGTGCAAATCATCATCTACAGAACAATAACTCATTAATTTAACACGAAAGAGCTAAGTGCAAAGAATCCGTAATTAAATATATCTTTACAATTCATTCATTCTAATGCCATGCTCTCAAAAAAATGCCAAAATACATGCTATAGTAGAAATGTGATTGGCACTAGCAGCCACAAATAAAAAGGTAGGTGCATACAATAGTACAAGCAAGGTTATTTACGAAGTTACTAAAACAATTAAGCGATGAGTTGCAACGAGAGACATTTGCCACAAGTCTTTTTTCCAAGTCATGCTTGAAGCCACACCTGACCAGTATGAAATATATAACACGCATTTACATCATCAGGGCCATCTTTATAGCCAGCTACCAAATTTTGCAGAAAATAATTCCAAAATGCTCCTTCGCTTCAAAGCGAATTCTCTTTCTCTTTTCACGGAATGTGAAACAACAGGTCAAAACCAGACGCAACAGCAGAGTTGAAAAAGACAGCAAAGCAACCACGAAATAGAAGTCCAGTGCAGTTTTCAGGGGTTTATGGATGGCAGTGTGAAATCCTCAAAATCCCATTTAGCTGGTCCATATACAGATGTTCCTCTCGAAGTCTCAGTACCTTAAAGCATTAATTTGAAAGAGTTTCCACCAAGAGAAGACCTGTTTTTGCAAATCGGAAGGCTCAGGTATCACAAAAAATAGACGTAATTGGCTTGCCTCTGTAAATGCTAATTTGTAGTTGGGCATTAGAGTAAAATCTGAACACCCAGGAAGGTGTGATGGATGCAATAAATCAAGCACAACCCAAAGCCAACAGTTTTTTTTGCACTTGATACTTTTTGTTGTGACAGCTCTTAATGAGCACATCCAGACTGCTGTGAAGTTGCTGGATGGAGTACTAATTTTCATGTCCAGTCTTCTTTTAAGTAGTTTTTCCAGTACTATAACATAAGGAAGTTTCTGCAACTTTGAAAAATCTGCATTCACTGAACATTGCACAAGGTTATTAAAACAAAAACAAGGAAAGAAAAAAAAAAAACAACAACAAAAAACAAAGAAGCCATTTGATCAAGTATTAAGCTATTCCTTCAGAGAAATGCACTTCTTTGCTTATAGCAAAGACCAGAATTGCTGATGGTGTACTGACAGTTGCCATGGCAAGTGGGTGACTGCGTGGGATAGCAGACATATAGCCAAGTCAACTGCTTATGCAATCTCCGTGATTTAAGCAAGCACAGAACACACCACTTTTATTTTGTGCTGCCAATGATCTGCATAAAGTGCCAAAGTTAAAAAAAACGTTCCTCTATGTTAGATCATGGCTGTTTTCAGTATTCCCATTCATCTGTTTTCATGTCCAGGTAGTAAAGAATATTCTGGGCGAGCTTTACTGCTTGCTTCCTGGCAGCCTTACACCGCTCGTCACCTTGTGGATCAACGGCATCGAGCGCTAGAAGTTGTTTCGTAAGAAGTTCTTCCAGTCTCATGTAATTCTTATCCGTTCTGTTTCCATCAAATGAAATCACCTCCTGCTGAATTTGAGACAAGTTTCCAAGGACGTTCCAAACTGCTTTATAGGACTGGTGTTCGGCAGCAGTTTGCTCGGGATACATTTGCCTTTTCTCAAGTGCTTCCTTCAAATCAATGTACGTTATAAGAGTCTGAACTTCTATTACAGCTCTTCTCCTGGCTTCTCTGATGCAGGGATTTTTTCCTGGGCTCACCTCATCCAAGCGGGCAATTAACCCCTGCAATTCTGCTTTGGATCCCAAATACAAATCAGAAGCATTCTCTGTTTTTAAAAGTAAAGCATTAACTTCCTTCATTTTCTTACGGATCTCTTCTATTTTTAGAATGGACTGATTCTGTGCCAAGTCATAAGCGTGAGTGGAATTTCCTTCTTCTTCCAAGTCCAGGTATTTCTGCAACTTATTGATCTCTTCCACTACTTCTTTTCTGTAATTTCTTATTTCCGTGCGACCACAGACATCTAACGCATCCAAATCAGCAATGAGGCCTGTCAGCACACAGGAGAGGTGCCTGCAGGTGTCATTACTACTCACTCCCATTAGAAGGGAAATAAGAGTTCCCCTGGCTTTGTTCACCTCGCACATCACAGAGTTAATTTTGGAGACAGAAGGATGTGCATCGTTAGAGAGTGGCAGGGACAGCTGCTGCTTTACACAGCTCTCTATAATCTCCTGAACAGCACAGACTTTGGTCAGAGTGCGGTATCTCGCCTTGCGTAAAGAAACCTTCCCTCCCGTTTTCACCTGGGTAAGCCTCAACACGATGTCCTGGATCCCTTCTTCAAATTCGTCACTTATAGAGTTACCACCTTTGTAAAAAGGTGTGATCTCACGTTCCACAAGGGACTGTGCCTCCTTGAATATAGCCTCTATTTCCAGTCTGCGCGGATGGTTTGCATTTTGTTCCAGCTCCTTCAGCAGCCTCTCTGTTTCCTGAGCCGCTCGCTTTCTGGCTTGCTGAATATCCCCCTTTCCTTCAGTGTCTACAGAATCTATTTCAAAAAGCTGTTTCGTCAGACTCCTTTCTAATTTTTTGTAATCTTTATCGGTAGACAGACCACTGAAGACAACCACCTGCTGTTCAATCTCTTTGACTTCTTTCTGTATTTCATGCAACCGTTTTATGGATGGGTGTTGGTTACCCATATCCATTCTCTTCTTTCCTCCACTTTCCAATGAACTACAAGGCAAGCAAGAACGAGACCTGCGATTAACAAAGCGCTATAGGCGAGCACTTCCCTATGCCACACACAACAACTCCCATGACATCCCCAAGCCCCGCAGCATAGAATCATAGAATCATCTAGGTTGGAAAGGACCTTCAAGATCATCTAGTCCAACCATCAACCTAACTCTGACATAAAGAAAAAATAAAACAGACCAAAAAAACCCCAACCAAACACACACACCCCCCATCACTAAACCATGTCCCCCAGCACTATGTCAACCCGTCTTTTGAACACCTCCAGGGATGGTGCCTCAACCACTTCCCTGAGCAGCCCATGCCAAGGCTTAATAACCCTTTCAGGGTAAAAATTCTTCCTAATATCCAACCTGAACCTCCCCTGGAGCAACTTGAGGCTGTTTCCTCTTGTCCTGTCGCCTGTGACTTGGGAGAAGAGACTGATCCTCGCTCTCTACACCCTCCTTTCAGGGAGTTTTAGAGAGTTATAAGGTCTCCCCTCAGCCTCCCTTTCTCCAGGCTTCCTCTAGACATCACAGCTACTTTGACTATCGCTAGCACTAGAAATACACCCCTTGGCTGGTATTTCATAGCCGTTTTCCTATCGCCAAACACCCCTTTCCCGCTCGGGTGATGCTTTAGGTACCCACACCCCCCAGCCCTTGGCGTCTGCCCACAACATGCGGCCCTGCCAGACCGGGCACCCGGGGAAAAACACCGGCTGACCCCGGGGCCCGCGGGCTCCGCAGCCCCAGGGCAGGACCCGCCTTCCCCCGCACCGCCCCGCAGCACCCGCCGCTCCCCCCTTCACCGTCCCTTCCAGGCCTCCCCGCCGCAGCGGCTCCCCTCCCTTCCCCCCGGCGAGGAGTACACACACCGGGGGAGCACGGCGGCACCGGAGGGGAGGCTCGGCTCCTCACCCGCCTCCCGCCGCAACCCACACTTCCGCGCCCCGGCCCGTAAAGTCCCCCGCTCGCCTCACCCGCCGGCCGTCCCGGCCCAGGGACCCGCTGCCCGGCCCCGGCGCTGCGCCACGGGCCGAGCGGCAGCGAACGGCAGGAGCCCCGGCCCCGCCCCGCGGCGGAGGCGGGAACGGCGCGGCCCAGGGACGCGGCCCCTTCCCCGGTACCGCCCTCCGGCCGGCCTCGCCTTTGCGACACCGCCGTAAAGCGCCAGGCGCCGGTGAGAGATGGCGGCGGCCTGGGTGTTGCGGGCTGGCGGCTGCCGCCCCCGCCGCCTTCTCATCCTGCCTCCTTCTTCCTCCTTTTCCTCCTCAGCCGGCAGTGGCCCCACGGCTGAGCGCGGGGAGCGGCAGGAGAGCGCGGTAAATGCGGGAGGGAGCGGGGGGTCCCTGAGGCGGCCGGGGGGGTCCCTGAGGCGGCCGGGCGTGGGGGAGGCCTCGGGGTCTCCGGCCCTGAGGGGCCCTGAGGTGAAGCGGGGGAGGCCGCCCCCGCCGTGACTTTCGGCGTCGCCGCCGGGTTCGTCCCGGTAAAAACCCGTCTTTCCCGCCGCCTCTCGTTGTTGATGTGTTTTCCAACGCCCCCGGTTGTTTGTAAATACAGGGCGGGCCTTCCCGTGCGGGGTGAGGAGGGGGGGGAACCCGCTTTTCCAAAGGGAGCGGTGAGTTTGGGGCTGTTGGAGCCAGCTCCTCCAAAACCCGGCCTGAAAAGCTACCGGCTTGTGGCTGTTCACCAGGCTGCAGGGGGAAGGTAGCGCTCGGGAAGACTTAACACACTGGCCAATTCGAATGTTTGGTGACAAGATGAGGGGCAACGGGCACAAGCTGGAACATGGGATGTTCCACTGAAATATGAGGAAGAATCTCTTTAGGATGAGGGTGCCAGAGCCCTGGAACAGGCTGCCCAGGGAGGTTGTGGAGTCCCCTTCTCTGGAGGTCTTCAAGACCCGCCTGGATGCAGGCCTGAGTAATGTGCTCTGGGCGTTCCTACTTAGCAGGAGAGTTGGACTAGATGATCTCTAGAGGTCCCTTCCAACTCCAACAATTCCATGATTCTAATCAAGTGGAATAGCACTGATATAAAAATGAAGGCAAAAACCCATTGCTTTAAAAAAAATATTCATGATTCACGTGTGCTGGAAAAGAGTCAAAGGTATCTTCTGCGTAGTGCATTTCTAAATAAAAGTGCATTTTAAATGCATTGCATCCTTTTCAGTCAGAGTGAAAGAACCTACATAATTCCTGAACTCGCTATGCTTATATCTTTAAAGGTTGTGTGGAGTTTGGGAATTTATTTCGAACTGGATTGTTCTTCACAAACTCCGCTCAAGCGGTCGTAATGAATTCTGCCTGTGTTTCCAAGGGCCTGGGTTTCAGCCCCCCCGCGCACTCCCGTAACGACTGGATCGGTCCCCCCGACAAGCACTCCAACCTGCGCCCCGTCATCTTCTACGTGCCCCCCGAGGAGTCCCCGCTGGAGCGGCGCCTGCGGGAGGCGCGGCAAGAGGCCCAGGCCTGTGACCAGCGCTACTGGGCACGGCACAACCGTGCCTTCTGCCAGGTGAGCCCCCCGCCACCCCTGGTGCCACTCAGTGCCCGCCTGATGCCTGCTCTGCCACCCGAAATTTTGGGTTTTGTTTCTGTGAGGTACGGTTCGGTTCTGCCTGCCATTACTGGCTGGTAATTGATGCCATTTATTTTAATACTCGCTATATCCTCATGGGAATTACCTTTTTGTCATCAATTTCTTTCAATTGATGTAGACAACTAAAGAGCCCACATATTTTATTGTTGTTTAGTGGCACATAGTGATATTTGCCTTTTTCCTTTCTTGCACTGAAAATATAAAGCTGTAGCCACCACACATGCAAGACCTGTCTGTGACTAGAGCGGCTGTTGAAAATAATTCTACAGCTCTTCTTGCTGTCTTGTAAATGAGAGAAATCAGGTGTAATCACCCAGGGTAAATGAGGGACATTCCCTGTTTCACTGGCAGAGTATCCCAGCAAGAGTAAATGTGGAGACTTTTCAGTTGTGTTCTGTCTTCTTCCCTGATCGCAGCATTGGTTAGGAGACACGGAATTTTGTTGGAAGAAAAGTAACAGCTCAGTAATTCATTATCATTTGTGATAATCTTTGATCATTATATCCTCCCAAAACTTGCAAAGATCTCAGAAAAAACAAACCTTGTTTTTCAATTCCATAGTACTGCTTTTTAAGTTTGAAGAGCTTACATACAAATAATTATTCTGTTTCCGTCTAAGTAATTACAGGTTTTTTTTAAGGCTCCATGTTTTTCTCTATGCTTAAATTCTCAGTTATACCATACGGCACATAGTCATAGTTTATCTTATAAACTGAAGGTTCTGATCCCATCAAACAGTCCTGAAACTCAGCTGTAACTTTACTCAACAAATATGTTTTATGTGTTTGAGTAGAACAGCTGCATGAATTAATTGATGCCTGCAGGTAGCAGGATCTAAGAGACAAAGTTACCAGTTTAACTAACTTACCTGATTTTGGAAAATGTTTTCTTGACATTTCCAAGTTTATTGAGTATTGCTTGTTATTTCAGAGGGTATTAAGCACTGCACTTCTGTGTGATTAAGAGTGGTTAACTTCAAGGACTGAGTACATCAGATTTTAATGTGGAAACACGTGTTTCAGGAAAAAGAAGAATTTATTTATTCAAGACTGAAAGCCAAGGGTCTGGAAATGGGAGCTGAAACAGGTTAGTGAGATCTTTGTTTAGAGTTCAGGTTATATTCTGAATTCTGTTTGACTTTGAATTTTATGAGTTTCTGCTCTTTGTGTTCAGTTACAAGTAAATCTTGAGGGTAGGATTTAGAAGTGTTTCCAGGAGCATGATAAAAAAAGAGGGGAGGATCACTTGAGAGAAATGCCTGGAGGGGTCAAATCATCTTTTGTGTTGTTCTTCCCCCAATTCCCCGCAGCTGCAGGGAATGTGCTGAAATCCCAGCCAAGTAGTATAATCGTTCTGTAGTCTGAGGAGAAAGAAGGGTTTTTTTTCTTTCACCACTTCTAACCCCGTGAGCCAGCTGAGCTAAACATATATAGAACTAAACATACAGAATATTTGCCTCAAGTGCTTGTTCTGGTTGGGTGGATTAATTCACATTCTTTGGCTTCAGGTCCAGAGCGTAGACAATGAATTCAATATTTTTCCTTGAGGCAGCTTCTGAGGAGAGAGCAGGTGCTCTCTGCCTGTCTTTGCCTGAGCACAGTTGCTGTAAAATACTTGCCTCTCTAATTATGTAAAACTGAGAACAAGATGCCGTCGTTATAATAGTGAATTGGCCACTGTAGTATGAGGTTGAATGTTTTGTTCATATTCTCATGCTCTTGAGTTCAGTAAAGCATCTGCTCTGAGGTTCTGCATATCACAGACCATTATTTTTTTCTTCTGTTTGTCTCCTGGTGATCAGTGTGTGGTGTAAGGAACAATTTTAATGAAGTTCTGCGGTGTTTAGCTTGTAGGAGCGAGGAGTCAGACCTAGTTCTCATGCATCTGAACCGAGTTTTTTAATCCGAAGAATTATCTTGACATTGTCATGCTAAAACTTTTTTTCAGGTCAAAAAGCAACACTGAATGCAGAAGAAATGGCTGACTTTTACAAGGAGTTTCTAAGTAAAAATTTTAGGAAGCATATGCAATATAACAGGTATGTGGAAGGTATATATGTTGCCTATTATACTTTACAGTCTAAGCAAAAGGAGCAAGATCAGATTTTAACTTTGAACATTTTTTTTCCATACTTCGTTTTAGAAAATGATTTTTTTAAAATGCTATTATTAGCACTTGGGAGCTGTCTTGTACTGCCTGTTGTTGAGTTAGTGGAGAGATGAATCTCATGTCTGTGACTGGGGGACAAGATGGGGCGCTTAATTTTTTTCTCTGATGGCACGTATCTTTTCATGCTGCTAATTGAAACTGATAAATATGCAAATGGAGCCAGTTTAATATCATTATCAATGATCTGGACAAGCGGATCAAGTGCACCCTCAGCAAGTTTGCAGATGACACTAAGTTGGGTGGGAGTGTTGATCTGCTTGGGTGTAGGAAGGCTCTACAGAGGGATCTGGATGGGCTGGACCGATGGGCCAAGGCCAATGGGATGAGGTTCAACAAGGCCAAGTGCCAGGTCCTGCACTCGGGTCACACCAGCCCCGTGCAGTGCTACAGCCTTGGGAAAGAGTGGCTGGGGGTGTTGGTTGACAGCTGGCTGAATATGAGCCAGCAGTGTGCCCAGGTGGCCAAGAAGGCCAACAGCATCTTGGCTTGTGTCAGGAATAGCGTGGCCAGCGGGACTAGGGCAATGATCATCCCCCTGTACTCGGCACTGGTGAGGTCCCACCTCGAGTGGGGTGTCCTCACTATAAAAAAAGACATTGAGATGCTGGATTGTGTTCAGAGATGAGCAACAAAGGTGGTGAGGGGTCTGGAGAACAAGTCTTACAAGGAGCAGCTGAGGGAGCTGGGATTGTTCTGCCTGGAGAAAAGGAGGCTGAGAGAAGACCTCGTCGCTCTCTACAACTCCCTGAAAGGAGGGTGTAGAGAGGTGGGGGTCAGTCTCTTCTCCCAAGTAACAAGTGATAGGACTTGGCAGTAGTTGGTTAATGGCTGGACTTGATCATCTTAAAAGTCTTTTTCAACCTAAATGATTCTCTGATTAAAACAGTTGAAGTTTCTGGATACCAGATCCTAGTTGACTGTTAAATAATGATTACTAAATGTGATTCATCTCAAGAAAATTGTTTAATGAGAGTAATATTTAGTATTCTTGTCTTTATTATTTTGCAAGTTCTTTGTATGTATTGTGCATATACTGTAACATAACTCTAAGAACAACTTTACTGTAAGAAATATTTAAAACAAATATGCACATCTTATTTATCCTATGGGGAGAGCAGGAAGGGGGGGAAACCTCGCCAAAAACCTAAGCCACAGCATGAAAAGATGGAAAGTAAACCATTATTTTTAATAAGAGGAGCGTTGTTCAAATTGCCTATAACTGATGAGTGAGAAAGCAAAGAGTAAACCCGATGCCACTGTTGTAGGGAGCTCAGGATAATGTCCTGTCTTCACAGTGGAAGAGTTCAGGCTTTGTGCCTAAACACAACCTTCCTTGTTGCTGCCTTGTAAGATCAGGCAGCGTCAGGTGCATCTTTGTAGTTTCCAGGTGGGACTGCACAGCCCTGAGAGCAGTGGAGCTTTTTACAGGCACACTGATTTTGAGGGGCCACATTTATAACAACCTGTTTATGCATTCAGCTGTATGTTCTTTTGCAGTGTAGCCAGCCAGCCTGAAAACTGTGGCTGCTGAAGTGTTGCAACTTCTAAAATGTACTTAAAATTGAAGCAATGTGTATGCATAGACTCCATGAATATTTAGTTCAGGGCACTTTGACTGGAAATACAGTCGAGTTAAAGGGGAAAAAAAATTGAGGAGGATCTAGGAAATGAGACATGAAAGGGGAAAGGAAACAGTTGCAATGTTAGTGTAATATTTTGATTTAACATGACATTTGAGGGTGTAGCTCAGTGCTGCTTGTCAGCATGATTTCGGCTGCTATCCTTACTGAGAGGCTAGTATCTCAGGTTTGTGTTAGATCTGTACATGCGAGGTTTCTCACAGAGATCTCAAGAGAAGACCTAAATCCCAGTGTTTAATATTCCCAGCTAGTTCTACAGTAAGAGTATTCTGTTGCTTCTTGTGCAGCATTTTACAAAATGGAGGAGGGCTACTTGAAAGTAGACGGCACTAGAAAAAAATTCTGATATCGCTTTAGTTTGTAATAAGGGCAAGAATTTGAAGCAAGTTCTCAGAGGGTAAAAAGGGCTGATGTAGATGGGATAGTCTGTGTCTGGAATTGGTTCCAGAAGTCATGCATGCTTCATAAAAAATATTTAAAGATATAGACTGACTTTGGTAATATGAAGGGCATCATCTTTAAAAAGTACTGCTTTAGAAAGCTAATGTTTCCTGTGCTGGGTCATACAATTAGCCTTTGAAGTATGATTTTATTTTGTTTTTTCCTCACCCTTGTAGGTGACCAGCTGTGCCCTTTCCAACACAGGCATCTTCAGACATGCACAAACAAATCTTACCAGACATGCACAACTAATCTTGCACAGCACTGGCAGGAAAATTTTCTGGATAAATTGATTATCGGCTTTACTTCTGAAACATGAGAAATGGTCACGATTATTTTATCGTGCCTGATTTCAAATACAATTGGCCATAAAACTACCCAGCCCTTAACTTTTTTATAGTTAAGCTCTCAATGGTTGTAGTCCTAATGTTTGCATTTAATCTGTTCATGGATGTAGATACTTGTATAGACCTTTTTATAGGTAGTTTCACTCTAATTAGGCAGGAAAAGTGTTGCCACAAAAATAAAAAATGCAAGTCATCACTGAATTGTTATTTGTCAATGCCAAAGTATATTTTAATTAATTTTAACCTTTTTCCTGTTCTTGTTCTTCGTGCTAATGATTTTCCTGGCTTTGGAATCCTAGAGATTGGTATAAACGTAACTTTACTATCACATTCCTCATGGGACAAGTAGCACTGGCAAGAGCTCTGAGGTGGCTTCGTTGGAAAAAGAAAACTGGGGGAAATTAATCACAGCTCCATGAAGAATGCAACAGTAGCTAGGCCTGCTACAAACTTTTTATTTATAGTGATGTTCAGAATCTGAATGACTAATGTAATAATTACTTGAATCTGTTTGTTAAACTGTGTAAATAAAAGTTGATCTTAACTTATAATCACTATGTAGATTTTTCTCTACCTTTTATTCCAAGAATATCTAAAATAGTTCCCAACCTAAAACGCAACTGAGAAAATTATCAAAAGTTGTTCCCTGTTTACATTAAATGGAACGGATCACAACTGTCACAGTTTTACTACAGACTCATGGTTCCTAAAGAATGTTTGATTCAGTTTGCTGTACCTGAACTCAGGTCAGAGAATGATTTCTCCACCAACCATTATTACCACATAAAGACCAAAATGTCTCATTTTGCAGCAGTTGTCAGTGTGGGGCAGTAGCTGTCCATAAGTAATACAACATGGCTGAAGGATCAAGTGTGATTTTGTGAGTATATATACAATTAATTTAGAATAATTCTCAGTGTGATTATCTCTTTTTAATAAGGAGTTAAGATATGATGTCATATAAATGACTAATGCTATAGTATCTTCTTAGATAATTTTATTTTAATTAAAAGAAATGTGTCCCCCTTGGACATGAGTTCTTCTAACATACGATTGGTACAGATTTTAGTTGCTGAGCAATGAACAGTTGCGTTGCCAGTCACTTGATCTTGGTAGAAAAGGAAACCAATACTTGGCTGTACGGAGGAGAACGTTATTAGTACTAATAGGTGCTGTTTTTCTACTGGTTCATTTCTTTCCAAAAATTGCTGTTCTCCCCAGTTTCTCTGAGGCACTCAAAACAACAATCCTGAGGGGGATTTTTCTGGCCTCAAGGTATGTAACATCAGTCGGAAGGAGGTTGCTTTAAGTGAAGTCTTAAAATGTTACGCCATCTATCTGTGATTTAAAAGAAGTTCTGTTCCTCAGAATGTTCTTCCTGTCCCTTTATATAGTTAAACGATTTTTTTGATGCAATACCCACTAAAAGGATTCTGTTAAAAACAATATATGTTGCCAAATGAAGCGTGTTTTCCTAAAGCTGTGCTGTAGGGAAGGTTCTGCTTTTGGAAATGTCAGCTCAGTAGCCATTGACCTGTTTTTTGTAGCTAAATATGACATGATTTATTCACAGGCTTTTTCAGCTGGAGCAAAAAGAGATTTGTCAGTATCGACTGTAGTAATTCCTTCACAAGATGAAATAAATATTAATGATATAGTAGTGGATCACCCTGTTTCATACAGTGATGCTAACACAGGGGCTAAAAAGGTCACTGAGTTTTGTTTTTAACTGTTGTGTTATTAGTATATGAAAACAGGTAGTGTTTGCTGAGGTGATAAACAACACTTCCAGGAAAATATTATTTATGATGGTTATTTACTGCATCAGTATTGTAAAAGGTATATATTTATTGAAAACTTACAAAATGCCACATTTTTTTAGGAAAACAAATTTTTGGAATAGACTGCTGGGGGTATGTAATGTCATTCTTCAGGGCTTTACAGCAAATTATATCTTACAGTATCTAAGCTTTGACCCCGATGTGAATGCACACTTTAATAAACAGTTCTAGTGTAAAGGAATGATTGGATAATATAACAAAATAGCCCTGAAAGCAGAGAGCAGAACCCCAGTGGTTGATGCCTCATGTTCCATCAGCCAGTGCCTGAGGTCCCTGAGGTAGTTTCCCATACGCTTTAAGCAGGTAGAAATCAATCAAAAGAAGCATTTTCATATTCCAAGTTGCTCACTTTTATTAACACAGCAATTTTTGTGTCTGCCTGCTGAAACGGATTGGGAAATTGATTCACTGCTAGGGCTAATCCAAGGAAAAAAAGTCTTGGATGTCAGTTGAATTAAAATGCCTCATCCTGCTGATGTCAGTGTTCTGCTGTTGGCACAGGGGGGATGTGGGAATTCAGATGGAAGGTTTGGATTGCCCTTCAGTCAATTAACAGTTAAAACCCTTTCCTAAATGTGTATTTTAGTGCTGGCATATGATGGATCATGCCAGGATTCTGCTCTGAACTGCTTGTAGGTTAAGTTCATGCCTTTGCCTTCGTTAAGATTCTGGTCCCTTCATCTAAAGCCTATTGAAGGAGTGAGCTATTTATCTATTAGGTAAGTGTTGAGCTCTGATTTAGAATATCTAATAAAACCACTGCGCAAAGATGTTATTAAAAATAATCCATCTGAAATTTTGAGTCTCATTACCAAACCCACATACATTTACTGAGATAATTGCATTTTCTGAACAGCCAAAAGCCGTATAATTTTTGCCAGTGTTGCATTACTTCTGGTGGTTTTTTTTCTTGATTCAGAGCAGTTGTAATAATGCCAGCTGCTTTCAGATATTATTGATCATAAATCCTTTATACATCAAAGGAAGAATAAGGAGCTGCCCCAGACACTAAAAATAATTTTATTTATGTATCCAAAGGCCTGCTACAGTCACTGATACTAGTGAAATACATCAAAGAGTGACTTTTCTGTGCACGTTTTCTGAGTGTAGGAAAAACACAGGGGAGTGTTCTTATCATTTAAGTATTTAGCTAATCCTGTCAGAAGGAACCAGCAGTATTGGGTATTTAATAGTGTCAGCATGTGCCTTTTTAATCCATCTCCTCAGTAAATGCATAATAAAGCAACAGTGTTTTGGTAGTCTTCAAATAATTTTAGATAATTTGTATTGACTTGGGGTGGTTGTGTTCTGATAATCTGTGTGCATTTTTGCTCTTCACTGAATTTCTCTGCTGGAGCATTAATTTCAGTAGAACGAGAGAGGAGTCAGAGGAAGTGTGAAATGGGGATTGAGGGGCAGACCCACCAAAGGCTGGTTGGAAGTGATTGCAGCACCTTTATATACACATAAAAAATAAAAGAATAAATTGCATTTCTCAGTTTCATTAGGAGTTTTCACGCAGCAACTACTGAGAAGATAGCTTCTATATTTAACTGAAGATTCTTGGTGATAAAATTAAAATTTAGTTCAAAGCGCAGATTGGTTATTTAGAAGCTGACCCTTCCTGGCCCCGTTTTAAGGGGGCTATTTTTCTGCTTGCAATTTTTAACTTCTACTATCCCTAAGCAAGATTGGTATCCTACAGGACAATCAGATTTAGCCAAATAAGAACTTAATTTACATCCTGCTTAGAGCCCACAGGCCAGTCTTTTGCATAAAGACTGGGAGATTGAATTGCTTTCGGGAAAGGATAATATATGCTTGGAACTGTAATATGCATGAATAACATTTTCATATTAAAAATTATATCCATGGATTGCTATAAACTGATTCACAGAATAAGAATCCCATAATTACTTTATTTTTTTATGAGTTTATTTCTGAAAAAGAGTTTAGAAGTATATGGAATGTAATCATCTTGAAATGCATACTCATTAATATTCATTATTATATAAATCACTTTTGTGCCTTGCCTTTGCATTCATTAATGGATTAAGATTTAGCCAAGTATTGTCAGATTTAGTTGATTGATATATTCAAATAGCAGGTGCTGTGGAAGTGCAAAAGGAGTCCTTTTGGCTAGAAATAGCAAAAGCAAAGAATTACATTATTCCATTTAAAGTGTGATCTTACTCAGGGGAAATATTACTTTTATTTAAATATTACTGCCATGGAAAATTTTTCACATGACACTCAGTGTGTGGCAAACACTGGCTGTTTTTAAAGGGTTCCAGAAAACTTCACAGATTTTCATTTCTAGAGTGATTTGAACAATGAAAAGTCCAGATTCTGGGGGGCATGGGGGCGTTTTGCAGAACAGATCTTGTAGTCAAAGCTTATATTAGAAGGCAAAATTCATGAATTGCAAATTTCAACAGAGATTAATTGATTGCCTTGATTGCTTTCCAAGTGATTGTATTCTTCTGGAGTGTCATATAGAAAACAGATGGTATGACACAGCATAAATATTCTCTAATAAACTAAATCAAGACAGTTCTGACCTCAGTAGCTAGGAATACCTAGGTAGAAAACACTTATTTGCCCAAAATTGTATGAGACTGAAAAACAAAATGGAAACTAAATTCCAATTACTGTGTAAGAAAATGTCTTCTGGATTTACCCATCTTCTCATACTTACCAAATTAATATTTCATTTCTAATGTCATGTCTGGAAAACCTCCAGTTTCCTCAGGTCTCCTAAAAAATTCCACCACAAAAAAAAAAACAACCCAGAACAAAATGCTAAGCGCAGGAGTAAATAGCCACAGGTGCTAATTTCTGTCAAAGGAGGATTCAAGCTCACTTCAAAGAAGGAAAATCAGCTCTGCTCTGCCATAGGATGTTATAGACTGATTTTAATTGGCGAGAGATGCTCAGAAATAATTCATTTGCTGTGCTCCTCTGCTTTTGCTGTTGGGAAGAGAGGGGCTGGTTTGGTGTGACACCTGGGGACTTGCTGTAATGCTTGGGTGTTACCACAGTGTCACAGCCTTAAGGCTGATCGCCACAGGATGGGGTGAAAAAGCCTGATGTTGGGAGAATGTGGCTGGAGAGCTGCCACTGGACACGACACGTTTCCATTTTAGAAAGATTTTTCTCAGGCTTTTGAATCATGAGTTTCACACTTTCTCTAAAAGCAGCAAAGCAACTTATTAATGTCCTGAGTCTATAATTTATATGTATTATCTAACAGCCACAGCGCTCAACGTTCACTTTCATATGTAATTAACAATGTCATTTCTACTTTTAGTTCTATTATATGTTTACATGCAAATTAGAAAAGCCATCTCACCTGTTTACAGTATGATCTTTGTTTTGGGACACTCCCCAACAGAATTCACAACCGAAGACTCAAAGAGCAAGGAGGTAAGTTAATGAGAGCGCCC